TATTTTTCAACCTCAGTGATTTATTTATTTCACCATTAATACTAATATTTCCTTATTTAATTACTTAACTAGTTTTATATGGCCTAATTTAAATAAATAGACTAAAAATCGACTTTATAAATTAGTAACCGTCCATAAATATATTTTGGGTCTATATTCGACCTAGGTTGTCCAGATATCTATTTTATAATTATTTCCCATAATTATTCCTTTAATTTCATATATCTATTAACCGGTTTAATTACAATTAAATATACTAAACCTTATTTTTATTAATTATAAATGGTCCATAAGGTCCTAGTTAGTCATATATTTATCCTAGTTTACTACAATATTTATTTCATAATTATTTTCGTTATTTAGTTAATTATTTACTAAATGTGTATAAATTGGCCCAATTACAATTAAATCAATTAAAAATAGCTAAAAATATTATTTTCCAATTCTGGTTGGTCCGAATATGTATATTTATACTAGGTATTTAATTTATATTTTTACAGATTTTATTTATTTCATTTACTATTTTATTTTTAATTTTTATTGCAACTGGGCCGAACTGGCCCAAATTAAATTTTCTGGCCCAACCTGAAAAGGCCCAAAAGACAGACCAGCAGATTTCTGGGTTGTCTTCTTCCCCAGGTCGCCGGAAAAACGGGAATTCAAGGGGGGGAGGTGTTACCTCGTCGGACGAGCGAAACGGCCGGCTACTGGCTCCGTTTGGGACGGCGAATGTCGGTGGTGGGTTGGCGGCAGCGGTAGCTCCTCCCTCTTCTCCGTTTTCCGTCGAAAAGTTTTTCTCCGGCGAAACTCCGGTGAGGCTTTTCTCCCTCGTTTCACGACCGTCTTCGACGATTCTTTTTCCGTTGGATTCGTATCACGAAGGGGAAGGTTTGAGAAGTATTTTCAGGGCTTGGTTCTGGCTCAAACGGTGGGTCGAAAAAAATATATATAATATACGTATATATGTATGTATATTTCGTAGTTTTTTTTTTGGGATGAAGAAAACGTAGGTTCTGGCCTATTATTTATAGGGAAAGATGAGGGTTTTAGGCTGAGATGTTAGAGTTGGAGTTGGAGTTTAATTTTGATTCTTTTGCACCTTTATGAGTATTAGGAGTATAATTGTTATATAATTATTATTACGTAACTAACATACGTATGTAGGAGTAATTATTATTACGTAACTAACATACTCCTAATACTAATGTTAGTATTTGAGTATAATTAGTATTACCTAGTTATATATCTATTAGGAATATACGTATGTAGTTAGTTAGGAGTATTATGAGTATTTTAATTATTTAGTTTATACTTTGTATATTATACAACCTAAAATAGTTATATAAAAATTAATTTTATACTAAAACATAACTTCTATTATCGGGCCATTTTTATCTGATTAAAAAGTCGTAAACTTGGAAATTTTTATCTGATTAGAATGTTACAACTGTTGAATTTTTTTTTGTCTGACTCAATTAATAATTAAAATGTTATTTTCGTAATATTTTATCTGATTAATAAAAATTATTTTTATTTTTATTTAAATTTTTGAAGTGTCACAACCTAGTTCAAAGCTGATGACAATGGGAAATCCTAGTGAACCCGATGTTTCGATTAACAGGCCTCCGTCTCCAAAAGGTCAACCTGCCACTACCATTCTGTCGTCAGATGAAATGCATGATCAGCTAGAAGATATCATTATTCAAGACAAATGGCCCAGACAGTGGACGGAGATGGATCAAATCATGCAGGATGAAGAATGTGAAGATATGCAGAGGAACCGGTTCCTACGAGAACTTATCAACAAATGTGCAGAAGATATAATCAGGCTCGAGGACGATGAACGAAAGGAAGGGGAGAACAACAAGGAATCTCAGAAAACACTTGAATCTGTCGTCAGACAATCAGCGGAAAGACTTCCCAAGACTGAGAAACCTTAGGACAACGTTCGAATCAAAGCCCCCTTCCAAGAGGAAATCAGAGAGCGTATTTGGCGTAGACCAGACAAAGTCAAACCTCTGAATGAATTGAAACTGCGAGGTCTTACCCATCTCAAAGGAAAACAGGCTGGAGGTCATCTACATATGTTGTTGCAAAGGTCAACCGGTACTCAAAGAGAGCTGATGGAACAAGACTTGAAATCCAACATTCTCCCTATTCATCAAATCCTACTGGTTAAGGCCGAGGATTATCACGGAGTGACATTCTATTCTTACAGGCTTTAACGCACTGACGGGAGTGAATTTACTTGCCAAGAAAATGATTTCATCATGCTTAAACCAGACGACATCTATCAAATGTTTATGGCTTATCGATACCTTCCAGTCAGGCAAAGCAAAACATACAGCGAAGGTCTTGCAACAATCAAGAGATTCATGCTCAGACAAATCAGAGTGCACTCATCTCACGACCTACAAATGGCTATTGAGTGCAACTTGACAAAAACAAATCTTACAAAGCCAAGACTGTATGGTCCAGAACTCGAAGACTTCCCAGCTTACCACATCTTCTTCACACCGCCAGCAGTCACATATCTCAACCACAAGAACGAGAAACGCCTGATGGTGGTTAATGAAATTGAGAAATATTGTGGTGGAACACTGAAGATAATCAAAGAACAACTTCTAAAGATGAAGGCACAGCTAGAGAAAAATCTTCTGGAGGCATCGTCATACGTTCAAAAGGAACACTCTACAGTGGAGACCATTTTAAAAGCCATCGACGATCGCCTAGAAAAGACAAACATGCTAAGGCAATACAAGCATGCACTGAATATGAGGAAGCACTATTTCAAATCACAGAAGCAATAACTAAGTGGCACTTGATCACAAAGGGGGAGATTGTTGAAGATCAGTTAATTGTGAATCAAGTTTGTCATCTACTTTGTAATAGATTAGCTTTATTATTATTCCTTGTATTAAATAGGTGCATTGATTAGATAGAATATGGACCAAGTGTTAGGCCCATACAAACAGGCTAAAAGCCTTTCACGCCTACCTGAACCTCGCCTATAAAAAGGGAGCCGAGGGTTCAGGATTAGGTTAACTTTCGTACTTGTTCATTATAGCCTTAAGTGCAAATCTTTCTGTGTACGAGTTCACGGTCTATCAAAGAGGGTTTTACATCGATTCATCTGTGTTCATCTTTACGTTTAATCTTCTTTGTTAGACTGCTATTCATTGCTGTTACAGAAACAGGGACTATCAAATATGGAAGAAGGGATGTCTAAATGGGAAGGAAAATGTGTGTATTTATAGATGTTTGGAGGTGGTAGGGTCAAATACCCATTCGGATATCTAGGGTACCCAATCGGGTACGTTATGCAGGCAAAAGGTGCTGAAATCATATCCAACCCGACCGGGTTAAGGCTAAACTCGACCGGGTTATGTATCAAATCGGATTTTCCACGTCTAGTTCTTTGACATGTTCGATTGTCTCGTGTCAACTCAAATTTGAATGGGTTGAGTTAAAATCTGACCAGGATTCAACAGGTAGCTTCCTAGTTGTTTCATATGTCACTTCCAAGTTCCAACCCGACCGGGTTTTGTTCCAACACTTAGTATTCATGTTTATCATTGTCTGCTTTTGATACCTGCAATACTCCCTCACATCTCTTTTGGTTCTTTCAACACAATACACACAAGAAATACAATTTACATCTTATAAAAACAACAAACAATAATAAAAATACAAACTTATGCACTAAGAAGTAGTGCTAATTATCCGCTAAAATATGTGTTTTGATAGTTTGTGACAACAACAAACTTATGCACTAGGAGTATACCTACTTCAGAAAGTCACGTTCCTATAGGTTGTGATAGTTCTTACAAAAGAAACACACAAAATTCAGGGTTATGCACTAGGAATTCTTAAAACAGTTCGCCAATCTTTACCTAATAGTACAAGGTATAGTATCCTAGGAATATTCCCATAACAATTCTCAAAGTTCAATAGTTCACAAGACATCATAGGATATTAAATACCTAGGAGTCAACCATTGGAAAAATTCCAATCAATTCTCAAATCTCAAAACCAGTCCAAAACCACACAAAAATCCAGCAACAAGCATCACACAAGCTCACATGTGCCTATGCCTTCAATTTTATTCCTAATTCATCAGATTCTTTAGTACTGATTGATAAAATGGTTGTTTGAACTGAAAATGTTTTTATAATCTTTATAAGATTTTGAATAACAACGTCTCTGATACGACTTTGTAACACCCCTAATTTCCATCCCAAAATAGTTACTAAAAACAAGTATAAAGTTAGTTTTCCCAAAATATTTAGGGTATGTTTGGCACAACTAGCATAAAAGATACTTTTGTGAGCTTTTTAATAACTGTTAGCTTTTAGTGACGGAAAAGATCTTAAAGATAAAAGGTGGTAGCTGTTTGGTAAAAAGCTGACTATTTGATTTAGTTCGGGTTGGTATACTAATTAATACTAAAAGTCACGGGTTTTTTTCAGATGCTACTCCCCGTAGCATCTCAAAAAAGATATTTTAATTTTTGAAACGCTCTTAAAAATTGTCATGCCAAACATATAACTAGACGCTTTTAGAGACTTTTTGAACAGTACAAAAGCTAGAAGGTAGAGACTTATGCCTGCCAAACATAGCCTTAAGTTTGGAAGAGTTTAAGAGCTTTGGTAGGCATAAGTCCCTACTTTCTAGCTTTTGTACTATTCAAAAAGTCTCTAAAAGCTTCTAATTGAATGTTTGACATGATAATTTTTAAGAGCTTTTTTAAAAGTAAAAGATCTTTTTTGAGATATTAGTACTAGGAATGACAAAAAAACCCGACCCGAGCTGCCCCGCCCCGCCCTGGCCCGTTTAAAGTGGGTCCGCCCCGCCCCGTGAATCGAACGGGTCGGGTCCACCCCGCCCCGCACTTAGTTCAAGCCGGGTCTGGGTATTAGTCGTGCCCCGCGTTGCCCCGCCCCGCCCCGCCCCGACCCGCACATCCACTAAATAAACTACCTATAATTCTTGCACTATTTGTCTTTTCGGCTTCTGTTCCTCAACTAAATAGCCGGACATAGTAGAAACCAAACGTCTGGTCGGCCGCTTCTTTTCCTCGCATTAAAGAGTCTGTCCGACTGTCCATAACCATAGGAGACACCAAAGGTCATGAATCTAATTAAAGATATACATATATATAAAGTACCCCAAAGAGATGGACTTGCTTTCTGCAATTTAGCTTTCGCACAAAGAGATAGAGATACAGAGGGGCTGCAGCGACAAACAGAGGGACTTTAGCTTTCGCAGAACTGCAGGGAGGGACTAAGGGGCTGCAGCACCACAACCGGCAGCACCGTAGCACTCAAAGTCGGCAAGTCTGCAACAAGGTTTAGTTCTTGTTTAATATTCTCAATTAGGGTTTTTTCAATGTTTGATTCTTAATTTTAAAATCTCAGTAATTGAAATTAATTGAAAGTAATTAAAATCTCAACACCTCATGAACATCTTGTTGGTGCTTATAACGACATTCATAATTTGTAATTCATTTCTTCAAAGCATTCTGAATGTCAATTCGTAGTTCCACAGTAGGTTTGTAGCTATGGCTTGGACTTCCAGCTTTATATATTCGTAGTTTATAAAAACTAATTTTCATTTTAGAGAATAAACATGCATAGTACTCAAATGAAGGGTTCGAATCTGTGCATAATATATATGCATAGTACATATATATTATGCACAGATTCGAACCCTTCATTTGAGTACTATGCATGTTTATTCTCTAAAATGAAAATTAGGTTTTTAAATAAAATACAAGCTATCGCTTACTCTCTAGTCTCTATGAGTTTGAATCTGAAATGATAATTACTTCTGCTGTCCGCAATAAATACTTAAATCAATCTCTAGACTTGTTTGGCTCTTTAATATCCAGATTAATAGAGCTGGAGTTTGGTTTGAGCATTACATACGTTCTTTTCTAAAGAATTAAAAGCTAAGAAACCTTCCATGAGGGATTATTGTTGGTTGACCATCTGTATTTGAGTTATCACCTTCATTATTTATCATGTCTTATAAATATGAAGTTAACTGGTTAAGCAATTGAACAAGACTAGTGTAGTATATTATTTCTGCAAAATATTCATGAGACCACATAATTCATCAATTTCACTATTTTAGATGCAAATTGCAGAATAGCAGAACCACTCGTCCCCTCATTGTAACAATTTTTTTAGAACTTTAACCTGATTTAAAATTTAATTATTTCTGTAGATCTTTTATCAATGGAGGTAGAAGGAAGCTCATTACCTACCACCCCAGTAACAATTGAGTCACCAAATTTATCACATAATCTGTTGGTTGATGGAGGTGACTTACCTCTTGATGACATACCGTTGGAGGATGATGGTGAGCATCTTGATGTTGATGGTGAAGAGATAGTAGAAGCTGAAACTGATGGTGCAAAAGTGAAAGTTCTGAAGTCAAAGATTTGGGTGCATTATGAGAGAGAGAGACGGTTGGTGAAAAGCTCAAAGCAAGGTGCAAATATTGCCGGACACTTTTGTTGGGTGATCCAAAGCAAGGAACGAGTTATTTGCGTAAACATTACCAAAGATGCAACCAAAGGAAGACAAAAGATATAAGACAACAAGTTTTGCAAGCAAGCTCCAAGAACAAGTTTGAGCTTTCACCATTCAACTTTGATCAAGAACTTTCTCGTATGGAGCTTGCGAGGATGATCATTCTGCACGGCTACCCTCTAAAGACGGTTGAGCATATTGGGTTCAGAAACTTTGTGAACAGTTTAAACCCATGCTTCAAAATGGTGAGCAGGAATACTATTAAGAAGGATTGCCTGAAGATATTTGAGATAGAAAAGAAGGCCATGATGGACACACTTGTGAAGAATGATGGGAGAGTAGCTGTGACAACAGATTTGTGGACTTCTGATTTTCAGCAAAAAGGTTTTATGGTTGTCATTGCTCACTACATTGACAATTCCTGGAGGTTGCAAAGTCGAGTCATCAGGTAATATTTTTTTATTCAAGATATGATAACTTCTTTTTGTTAACGCTCTTTTTAATAATCTGAAAATTTTCATACAGGTGAAAGTCTTTCTGAAGCATTATATGGTTGTTTCCTAGATTGGAACATCGAGAACAAATTATCCACTATAACTGCGGATAATTGTTCCACAAACGATGTTATGGTTGGCTTGATGAAAGGGAAAATTCCTTTTGATGCTCTATTGCTTAGCGGAAACTTACTCCATATGCGTTGTTGTGCGCATATATTGAACCTCGTTGTGAAAGATGGTCTGGATATCATTCATGCTGCAATTGAGAAAGTGAGAGAAAGTGTTTCATATTGGAAGGGGACGCCAAAGAGATGGGAGAAGTTTGAGGATACGGCTCGACAGCTTCGCGCTCCGCTAGGTAAGAAGCTCACTCTTGATTGTACGACACGTTGGAACTCTACTTATATAATGTTGGATGTTGCTTTGGAATACAAAGATGTCTTTTCCTGCTTAAAGAATCGTGATCAGAAATATGTCACTGCCCAGTGAAAATGAGTGGAGCTTGTGCAAAGAAATATGCAGTAGGTTGAAGTTGTTTTACAATGCAACAAGGCTTTTCTCTAGAACTTTATATCCTACTGCAAATATGTTTTTCCCAACTGTTTGTGAGATCAAACTAGCTTTAAACCAGTGGACTGTTTGTGGTATACCAACTGTGCAACTTATGGCTTCTAATATGATTTTAAAGTTTGACAAATACTGGTCAGATGTGAATGGGATCATGGGTGTTGCTGCAATTCTTGACCCTAGGTATAATTTGTTGATGTTAGAGTACTATTTTGGGAAAATTTACTCCATCACTTCTGAATTTGAAGTTGAGAAAATTGTTGATTTTTGTCGTGAGTTGGTTAAGCAATATGAAGAGCAAGAAAAGACACATAAAAATGATCAACTGGGCTGTCAAACTGAGAGCAATGCAGGTGAAAGTAGTTCTTTGAGTGATTTTGACTTGTACGCTTCTCAAAGAAAAAGAATAAGTACAAGGTCAGAACTTGACCAGTACTTAGAGGATGACATCCTACTCCGTTCAACAGACTTTGATGTTTTAAGTTGGTGGAAGTCAAACAAGGGTAAGTATCCTATTCTAAGTCAAATCGCGAGAGATATTTTGGTCATCCCTCTTTCTACAGTCGCTTCAGAGTCTTCCTTTAGCACAAGTGGACAGTTGATCGGGCCTCATCGTAGTCGACTCAAAGAAGAAACTATTGAGGCCTTAATGTGTGCACAAAGCTGGATTCTTGCTGACTTAAATGGTAATTTATATAATTAATGATTACTGTTTTTTGATGTATTTTATCCTAACATTATATAGTTTTCCTTTTACAAGAAAAAGGAGGTGGATCACTTTCATCAGTTTTTTATGATTCAGATGGTGACAATGATGAGGGACAGGTATATCCAACTTGATGCTAAATTGTATTTGTTATTGAACTATATAAGTCATTTCTTAACATTAATAATTAGCTTAGTTGGTCTAAAGTTTTATCTATATATTTTTGTAGGGTTAATGAGAATGGAGATATGGAATATCAGTACCAAATTGAAGAACCTTGCTGGACTGAATTGAAGAATTGAAATCCTAATGATTTCTAGAAGCAATGTTTTGTTACTCTTATTTTTGGTGTCTTTGTTGGACAAGCTTGGATCTTGTACTTTTCTGTCTTTCATGATATTTTGTTTTGTGAACCTTTGGTTGTTTCAAACTATTGTTGGGGACTTTGAGTCTCTGATGTGTTATTGATGGCATGTTCTGAAAATTGACTTCTAAGTTATCTCGTTTTGGCCATTTTATTATATATATGATGATTTTGCTTAATCATTTATGGATTGGGTTGTTAGTTGATAAAACAACCATCACTAGGGATGGACTCAGGTCCGGGCCGGGTCCGGGCCGGGCCTAGGCCCGGGCGGGTCGGCGGGTCCGAAATGGTGGACCCGGGACCGGCCCTGGTAACCCCTGGGTCCGGTCCGGGTCCGGGCCGGGCCCATTATATTTTTTTTTGTTTTCCTCTTCCTAATTAACCCCCTCCCACCCCCAACCCCCCAAACCACCCCAAATGGCCCAAAATACCCAGCCCAACCCGAAAATTTAAAAAAAATTGAAAAAAAAGAAAAAAGAAATAGTTTTTGGCCCGAACCGGGCCTGGGCCCGGCCGGATCGGGCCTTGTTTTGGGTGACCCGAGCCCGGACCGGAAAACCCACGGGCCGGGCCTACCCGGACCGGTCAATGACCGGGCCACCGGGTCGGGCCGAGCCGGAACAGTACCGGTCCTGGGCCGGTTGCGGATCGGGCCACCCGGCCCGAGTCCATCCCTAACCATCACCAAGTGTTCGGACCACAATTTCATAAATTTAATAGCTTTTAATAACACAAATAAATATATCCTAGATCAAGCGGGTCGAGGCGGGGCGGACCCGGCCCACACGGGGCAGGTCACGGGCCGCCATGTGCTGACCCGTTCCGGGTCACGGGGCAGGTCGGGTCTATGGGTTAATAAAACGGGGCGGGTCTGGGTTTTGCATTACCCGCCCCGCCCCGACCCATTGCCATGCCTAGATATTACAGTGAGTAGCATTTGAAAAATGTCTGTAACTTTTAGCATTACTTAGTCCTAACAACTTGTATGTCAAACAGAACTAAATCAAATAGTCGGCTTTTTATCAAACAACTACCATCTTTTTATTTTAAGACCTATTCAGTCACTAAAAAGCTAACAGTTACTAAAAAGCTCATAAAAGTATTTTTTCACCTAGTTGTGCCAAACATACTCTAAATTGTAGTCAAAATAAATACTCAACGAGTGTTACTGCCACACCCGGTTCTCACATAGTTGAATGCACAGGATAAACCACAATCCAAAGTAATCATAAGTACTAAGTCCAAAACTGCAAGTATGTAAAACAGTGAAAAGTTCCAAAATCCATATTTAAGTAAATGTAAGAGTTATGAATTATTTTATTGTGTCCAATTGCATTAGTTATCTTTATATTTGTGTATTTAATTTAGCTATTGGGGTTTGTATTTATTTAGTCCATTTAATATTTATTATGTATTTATTAAATTAATAATAGGAAAGTGGTATGTCACTTTCCTTCGAGTCAGCTCAGTGTATGTCTTAATTGTTCTAGGATATGGCTTCCTTAAACGCTTCGGTAGCGGCCACATACTCAGACTCAGTAGTGGAAAGGACAACTATGGGTTGAAGTTGAGACTTCCAACTAATGCACGACTCACAGAGAGTAAACACATAAGAACTGGTGGATTTACTATTGTCTCTATCGTTAGCAAAATTCGAATCTACATACCCACTCAACTTAACACCCTCATAACACCTAGTGAAAACCAACCCATGATTAACAGTATATTTCAAGTACCTAAGCAACCACTTAAGAGCATTCCAATGGGGTAAATCGGGGTTAGACATATACCTACTCAAACAACTAACAACATAGGTAATGTCAGGTCTAGTACTCACCATGAGATACATCACGGACCCAATAGCATTAGAATAAGGCACAAATTTCATTTTAGCAATTTCAGGAGCAGTCTTGGGAGACTGATCCTTACTTAACACAAAGTGAGACTGTTAGGAACTTGATGTAACGTACCTCGAAAGTACAGCTGTCACGCCCCGGACCTAGCCGGACACGTCAACAACCCGCCGTACAGTACGAATAGTCAACCGCAGTCCAACTCATCCATACTATACAAGGCATCTTGAATACCATTCACACATAGTACATCCATAAACAAACATAATGTAAAACATTTATTTAAAGCAGCGGAAACATTTAATATAAGAGTTTATGCCACACTTCGGCAAACATGAGCATACAAGCCCCCAAATAATTATCCAAAAATATATCCATGAGCATTGTTATAATTGTTTTGAAACAGAAACGGAGGAAGCACGAACCACGTCTCCTCTCCTAGTATCTCCCCGAAGCCACAGACAATGGTAGCAAGCTCAGCTCCTACCTGAAACTGTGAGGTGGCCTCCCCCGTGAAGGGGAGGTCAGTACTTGGAAGCATTTGACAAGTACAATGACAACTATACTAAGTATAATCAATGTTTCAATCTCAAAGACCCTCAGTCTAGGGTGGTATTATATTATAGGCCATAACCCTCGGTTATCCCCTTTATAAAAACGTACTTACTTTATATAAAGTCAAGTAATCGGCCCGTGGGCACATATTTATTTAGAATTCACCATTTTAATTCCCCGTGACTACTAGTCACGCCAACCTCATAGGGTTCCATCGAGTCCCGATTGTATAGCAAGGGCTCGGCCCAACTACATTTCTATACAACTCTTCAACTCAATTTAACACATTAAAATTATATGGCAAGGGCTCGGCCCAACTACGTTTCCATACCAACCACAACTTCGTGGCCAGGGCTCGGCCCAACTACGTTTCCACGAAGATCACAAGTACATGGCAAGGGCTCGGCCCAACTACGTTTCCATGCTAATCACATTACATGGAAAGGGCTCGGCCCAACTACATTTCCATGCAATCCTAGAGTCCGACTCTAATTCATTTTCGTAGTTCAATTCTCAAGCAAATCCTATGCCAAGAATCAACCCACTTGGGAAGCCCTTTTGGCTTACCCCTAACACACCTTAGTGTTCATTCAATTCAACCTTAAAGTATCTCTTAAGACTACTTAAGGCAAATCTATTCACAATCCTATCCCTTAGGATTAATTCCATTATATTATTCTCCCGACTAGTATTTTAATACTAGTAGGCTTGTCTTAGAACATATCAAGTTCTTAATTCAAATTGACATTTCTTTTCAATTGATTTTCCAATCCAAATATAATTTGATCCCAATATCAAAAATATCACTTTTATCCATTCTGAATTTCATACATGATGTAAAAGTATTTTTATCACAATATATACATAGTTAATTCCATTATCATGTCATCCCTTTCATGTCACATAATCATACACAATTTATTCTAAATTTGTATATCATGCTTCATTCACTCATATCAATAGTATTTTCATTAAGTATTATTACTCATTAATAATCCATGAAAATCACTTTTAATACCTTAGGTAATCTTATGAAATTATCCCAACAATTATAAGCAATATAGTCAGCCATCCTCACCTCGTGATGTGCTACAATAGTTGCCTTTGTTAAGCCCCTCGATCAATCCCCATTCTAGGACGACTGAAAGTGAAAAACTGGATTTCTGGGCCAAATTAAAGCCGGGCGGCTTTCACGAAAGCCGGGCGGCTTTCGTAGTCTGCAACTACGAACAGCTCCTTTGGAGTGGCGGTTTCCGGCGATTTCGACTCCTATCGATTCACCAACTCTTCTAAGTTAATTAACACCACTTTATAACAATATTCTACACTTTTAAATGTGTAGAACTCATGGTTTAATCCACCGTATGATTTCTAAAAAATCATACAAGAATAAACTAGTTACAAGAATATTCATTGAGTTCTTACCTCAAACACTATACTTTTCTTCTTGGATTTCCTCTCCTCTTGCTTCCTTCAAGCTTGAGCTTTTTGAGAGGTGATGTCTAGAGCTTCTCTCTTCCTTTGGGTTATCCGTATGGCTCAAATGAGGGGGAGGTATCTATCCTCAATCAAACACCAAGTTGAGGTGTTGATAGGGCCAATAGGGGTGTGGTTGTGTCCCCAATCACTTCCTTTCCCATAAGTCCGAATATGCCACCTTCAGATGTCCCACTCCCATTAATTTTGTCAATCAGCACCCATAAAAAACGTGGGGTGGCCCCCACTTATGTGGGAGGTCATCCCATTATGTCCCGGTGTGTACAATCGGCCCCGAAAGTTATATTTCTCGGCCCGTTTTAATCATATTTTATTTTATTGGACCAAATAAAATATATCACGCGTTCCTAATAATTATGGGCCTTTAGAATAGATGTACATTCCCCAACATTAATTTAGGAGTCTCCGAAACTCATTTCGGGCTGTTATCCGCTAAATTATCAATACCGGTAATTGGGCCTCGTTTGACCCACCGGTCAACTCCATGCCCTTCTCATCGCCCAAATTAAAATATCCACCTCCATATGGATGTCATCTAGACCAAGATGAATATAATATGTGATTCGGGAATTATCGGGCGGTCCCCGTTCCCGTTGTGGGCCCAACATGCAATTTACTATTCACGTAAAAGAATTAATAAAATTTAACAATTACGTAAATTTATAACTCATCCTTCAAGGTTCATTACATAATTTACTAAAAGTAAACATGCTTGGGGACGGTGTCACAAGTTCACCCCCCCCCCCCCCTTAACAGGAATTTCGTCCCCGAAATTCACAACGATTATTCAAACAGAAATGCATCGAGGCTTCAGTCTCCCAAGTTTCTTCTTCAACTCGGTCACTCTTCCAAAGGATTTTAACCATTGGGACTTTCTTGCTTCTTAGCTTCTTTACTTGCCTATCAAGTATCCTTACCGGTTGCACGGTGTAGTTCAAGTCTTCCCGTATTTCCACGGGTGGTCTCTCTAGTACATGAGATGGATCCAGAATATACTTCTTAAGAATGGACACATGGAATACATTATGTTTTTCTCCAATTCCGGAGTCAATTGTAATCGGTATGCTACGGCCCCAATTCTCTCAAGAATTACAAATGGCCCTATGTAGCGTGGGTTAAGTTTCCCTCGGTTCTGAAATCGGATGATTCCTTTCCAAGGTGAAACTTTCAAAAATACTTCATCTCCAACCTTAAACTCTAAGGCTCTTCGGCGCTTATCGGCATAGCTCTTCTGTCTAT